AAAGGCTGGATCCATGGGACATGAGTGGCCGGGTGAAGGATCTAGACCGTACGTTGACTAGCGCAGGAGAACTTACCTAACGCGTCTGACCGGCGTCACGAAAAGGCTCCCGGTACCCAAGATTCGCGCCCAGCGCACCCCAATCAAGATATATCGAACACCGTGAAGCCTATATTGACGCGACTTCTTCTTGTTTGCTTCCTGTGGTTCCATTGTAGGCTGCAGGCCTTTTCAGGTTTTTTCGTTGTGTTAAGTGATCGCAACGACACAGAACCTTGGAAGAACACCAAACATGGCACCGCCATACTTTCCCGCGTCAACCAACGGTCAAGACACCGCGCCGTCAAAAACATACTACGAACAACAGCGCGAATTGCTCGTCACTGAAATTGCCCAAGTACGTGCACCCATCCAATCCACCACGGAGCGCACCGCAGCCCTCCAAGTCCCAGCTTCTACACTGGTTTATACTAACCAACGGTCAGAGTCTAGAAGTCGTCCTACAAAACATCAACAAGCTGAACCGTTCGCTCGAAGAAGTCACATCCGTCGGCAACGAGTTCGCACCCGTTGAGTCGCTATGGAGTCACTTTGAGAACGTCATGGCCAAGGACCCGAGTGAGCAACAAGAAGGACCACAGGAGGGCGCAACGGAACATGAAGGCGAGACGGAAGTGCCTCAGGAAAGGAAATGAGTGGTGGCAGGGAGACACCTTGTTAGTTTGCGATAAACAACAACGCGCCCGGAGGTGCACGGCCAGCCGTCGAACAGACCATGGCGATAGCAAGTATGATGTAATGATACCCCAGAGCGAGTCATTGGCACGATGCGCGACACCAGGGGATCGCAGTTACCACGTTGTACTATACCTTTACACAGAAGATACACCGTGTGTGTGATACTTGAGACTAAGGTATGCACCATTTCACGTGCCATGTACATCTGGGCGAAAGCATGTATGAAGGCGGTCAGCGACACGAGTTCTGTCATCGGCTAGTGACGATCAATTTGGAGAAAAACAGGTTTCAGAAATATGTTTGATTTACTTCCCCGGCGCAGGCAAATTTGATCGCCCACTCGCGCCATGCATACATACAGAATACCGAATACAGATACAAGAAAGAAAATGCTGCTACTGTGGACTATGGAATCGCTGCGTCCATTCTCATGCCAAAAGGAAACCCAAACGCCAGGCGGCCATGTACATGAAAAGACTTCCCTAGGATTAAGAGGAAGCGAACATGCCCGGACAGTGGTGGAGGTGAGCCGTATGTCATTAAACATCTTGATCGTGTCGTCCAGCGTCGTGAATCTCGATATGCTCTCCTCTCGATAGACACAAACAAACTATAGGACCTTGCAGCCGCTGCGCTTCTTCTTCTTACCGCCCCCAGCAGGGAACGACGACGTGTTCCCTCTTGACGAGGTCGCTGTGCCGACACGGCGCTCTTCTTGCTCCTTGTGCTCCTCGCCAACGGCCATTGTGACGGCCATGTCGAAGATCTCCTCTACACCGTCTTGTTCTTTACTACTGCACTCCATGTAGGCGGCGCCCATCTTCTTCGCAACCGCGCGACCTTGCTCCGATGTGACGGGCGTCAGGCCTTGTGTCTTGAGTAGCTCGATGCAATTCTTCTTGTTGCGCAAGTCGGACTTGAGGCCCAACAGCATGAGGGGCGTTGTTGGGCAGAAGTGGAGAACTTCTGGGTACCACTGGATGCTGTCAGCTGATGTACGAGGTATACGAATCGAAGTATCTTACCTTGTCCATGACGTTTTCTAGTGAGTTGGGGCAGTCAATCGCGAAGCAAACGAAAATGACATCTGTCTCTGGGTAGGAGAGCGGTCGCAATCTGTCGTACTCCTCCTGTCCAGCGGTATCCCACAGAGCAAGTTCGACCATCTTGCCTGTGGGAGGATGAGGAGTGTGAGTGATGTAGTTCTCAAAGACTGTTGGTACATATTTCTGCAGTCGCATTAGAATCACATGACATGTCTTTTTAGCTGGTAGTGCGTACCTCTGGGAAGTTGCCGGAGCTGTAGCTGATCAACAAACATGTCTTTCCGCATCCACCGTCACCGACAACAACGAGCTTCTTGGAGTAGGCTGGTGGTTCGGTGATGGCTGTGTCGCGCGTGTTGGTGGTTCCATATGAGCTAACGGTGCCATTGCTGTTGCGCTCGCTCGGTGTGCGGGCGTGGCTGCGGACTGGTGTGATTGATGAAACGGCCGCCTTTGTGCTCTGCTTGCGCCGGAGATAGTCGTAGTTCTGGGAAGGTGCGGTGGCCATGTTTGGAAGTGTGCGGGATGTGTAGTCGTGTCTTGTTTCAGACGAGGTTATCAATACGGAGAAGGAAGATGGTGTTGGAGTTGGTGTGGGGAGCGAGTGGTCGAGGCTTAAGAGAGGTGGATGTTGACTGTTAGAGGGCTCGGTCGCATATGGCAACCACGCTACGTCTCCAGCGGCTCGCTAAACTAGCGCCAAGTTGCAACGTGCCTGTCCATGTCTATCGATCGATGGCATGCATCCAAGCCCACAGCCTCGTCTTACTCCACGACGCTATCGCTGCCGCTGGACATGCACGTTCGATTAACTCGCCCACCCCCTTTCTGCGACCGCTGCCATGAGTCCGCGACATGATGCGCCCAAAGACACCGCAGCGACCACGGAGCCCAAATTGGACGCGGGCAACAAGGGCCACGATCACTATGCCCAACGCCTGCCCAGATGGCGCAATGCCCTGCGCAACCGCCTCATACCCATTGTGCGCTGGGAGACGCCCTGGCTCGCCCTGATGCAGGACAAGATGCGCTCGCCCGCCCTCGACTCCTACTTCGCCTATACCGCCAACCTCGGCACACATACCTTCTTCATGGTGTTCCTGCCCATCCAGTTCTGGTGCGGCTACACTAGCATTGGCCGAGCGTATGTCAGAAGCTGTCTCTCACTATCGTGCGACGTCTGACGTACATAGAACTGTCTTCATGCTTGCAGCCGGTGTGTACGGAACGGGCTTCCTCAAGGACATGCTCTGCCTGCCCAGGCCCTTATCACCCCCACTTGCCCGTATATCCATGTCCGGGTCCGCTGCGCTCGAATACGGCTTCCCATCGTCGCACTCTGCCAACGCGGTATCGGTCGCCTTCTATGCCATATACACGTTGCGCCAGTCAGCCGAGCAAGACAATTCAAACTGGAATGCGGGCTTGCAGGCGCTGTTCTACTTCTACGCGCTCTCCATCATTGCGGGGCGACTGTATTGCGGCATGCACGGGTTTCTGGATGTCCTGGTCGGAAGTATAATGGGTGCTTTGATCACGGCATTCCAATTGGTCTGCGGGGACTGGATGGACTCGTTCGTCTTCAGTGGCAGTTACATGGACATCTTCATCGCAACTTTGGTCGTGTGCGTTCTGGTGCGCATCCATCCGGAGCCTGCCGACGACTGTCCATGCTACGACGATAGCGTATCCTTCTCCGGCGTAGTCATTGGGATCAATCTTGGTGCATGGCATTACGCTCAGACCGGCTATGCCTTGAAAGATGCATACCCCTCGTCGGTTCCATTCGATCTGGTAGAGATGGGTCTGCTCAAGGCAACAATTCGCATTCTACTCGGTGTTGTAGTAATCTTCGTCTGGAGAGCGACCATGAAGCCTGCCTTGTTTACTATCCTGCCACCCATTTTCCGTCTTCTAGAGCAGGCCCGTTGGAACATGCCCCGCGCCTTTTTCCTCAACGCGTCCAAGTACAAGTCCATTAAGCCTTTCGCTGATGACGACAACGTCATTCCACCTGCATCAGAGTTGCCACATATGCTGAAGAACCTCGCCCACCCGCGTAAGCGGTCTGTATCCGTTGGGCCACAGTCTGCTGCCGATGCTTACGAGACGCTTGCTTACCGAAATCGCCGACGACGGGAAAGTGTCAACTCACTAGATGGTACGGTACCCGAAGACTCCGCTTGGATACCCGGCCCAGCAGTCCTTGATACACCCAACATCGAGAAGGGGGAACCACTACTGGGCGCAGGTCTCCTGCCTACACCCATGGCGTCTAGGGTACACTCGTACGAGCAGATGATGGGCACAGGTGAAGTGCATGTAAACGACAAGAATGCGTCTACTCCTCCAAGGAGCGACACAGACGTCGCTGGCGATGTCCACACGCTCACACAAAGCCCAACCGAGGAGGAGAATGAAAAGCGGGAGATCTTCATGAAGCTTACGACACCGCGAGTGCGCTATGATGTTGAGGTTGTCACGAAGTTGATTGTGTATACCGGTATGTTATATGCTATCAACAATAGATCGACAACTAATCATAACTAGGTATTGCGTATATCGCTGTTGCAGGCAACCCTATTCTATTCGAGTTCTTAGGCCTGGGTATGGGTCAGCAGTCGTAGTGGTCCGGGCCACAACTATGTTACGCCTCTTTTGCTGTACATATGCTGACACGGCTGGGTGGTCTTGGTGAAACCGATGGACGGTCTCAAGGTTTCTTCTTTCTTTAGAAGTCGAGTCTAGCCATGGAATATGGGACAGTCGTTGCGCAATGCCAGGAAAAACCTCCTGGTAGCCTGGAGCTACCTAGTGGTGCTTGAGGAATAATAGGCATTATTTCGTGGTATTCAGGGCGTATATACGCCCGGTGATTCGCTTCTATAGTAATCAGGCTGCCTATCCGATCTCCCATGGAATACTTTCGTACATGGATATGTCATGCTGTATTCATCGAGTTATACTCATGACATATCCATGTGCGAAATCATTCCATGGGAGATCGGATAGGTACGCCTTATACAAGAAAAAAGCTAGACAGGCTTGCAGGCTACATTAACCTAAAACCTTGCAAAGTACGTAACCTAACGTCAACGTAGGCTCTAAGCTGTTTAGTTTTTCCCTAAGTTTGCGTGGAATAATTGTCAAATTTGGAGAATCATCTGCGTGCGACCCACGGGAGCTTACATCATAGAGTTCTAAATGCCTAGTCATTCATGCATCGACCCTATACTCCTTCAGTCCCGCATACGTGCCACCCTTGACAATCTCCTTCGTCTCGCCCATAGTCCCAAAGCAGCAATGCTCCACCTTGCCCAAAGGTCCCTCTCTAGGATCATCCTCAAGGAGCACACCAAAGCGCAGCTTCGTCTTCGCCAGCTCCTTCGGAAAGGGGTCCCCACCCAAACACGCCCCAACACTCAAGTGATCCAGCGTAGGATTACGGGTAGTAGCCATGATGCGAGAGAAGAGCACATCCGATGCTACCCCATTCATGTGGAGTGACCATGCGCCAACCAGGATGAAGGCGAAAGTGATTGCGATGACGATTGCGTATCCGACCCAAAGTGAGTGTTTGTAATACACGTATACCATCATGGTTCGGGACTTTGTGCAGGGCACTTCTTGAGTCTGAACCACGACTAGATTTGGGTCGTTGAGAAGAGTGATGAGTATGTCTTCGAAAAGGTCCTGTATTTCTGTCTTCAGATCCACCAACGGGTACGAGGTGCTGCTGTTGACTAATCTCGTCTCAGATAGATCCGAGTAGGTGATGAGGATCTTTTGTTTTTCGATCTTGCCACGCAGGAAGCGTCGGAGGAGTGAACCGAGAGTATGGAAGGAAGCCGTTACTTTGTATTCTTCCATGTTCTTCTGGGGCTCGATGGGATGGTCTATCAAGCTGTTAGCACGAACAATAAGATGTCTTAGAATCGCGTTAGCAAAGTTTAGCAAGGGGGCTACATACTAGTAATAAGTTAGCAAGATATCTTGACAGCTATTCGTGGCGGCTACTTTACCCTCCGATGACCGGACGCAGGAACTCTCGTTTCAAGCGGGTTGCGGACTGCCTAGGATTGTAGCTCATGTTGAAAGTATATCTAGTGTACTGCATGACGCATTTGAATGTCTTGGGCTCTGTAGAGATGGACGTAACAAGTCAGTATATCTCTTACATATGGTTCGCATAGCCGGAGCTTACCATGTACGTTCCCCCATTTGGCCTTGTATTCCGGTTCCGCATCGTGCGAGTACGGCTCCGAGGTATTGATGGCGTAACCGATCCATAGGTTTGGCTCATTCCTGAATACGCCTAAAGACTCTGTACCATTTCCCGGGTCTTGATAACCGTAATCATCTTGATCAACATCAGCCTTGTATACAAGACTTCCTTTTGGCGCCAGTTCAGACAATGCGAACGGCGCGTCAGATTCATCAGTATCGTCAACATCCTCGCATTTGTAGCCAGGTCCCACGAAGCTTATTGTGTATGTGCAATTCCAGCCCGATCCGCAGAATACGGTAGAAGCATTTTCGCGGGGCTGTGGCTTCTGCATGTATACACTACTGAACGCCAAGCGGCGCGCGTTCTTGGACGGCTGATCGTAGTAGTCAAAGAAGCTTCCTGTACTCGTTGCCGCGGAATAGTCTGCTTCATCTCTCCTTTCCTCTTCGGCTGGCTCAGTGGTGTTATAGAAATTCAAGCTCTTCTGCCAGAATTTACTCATGTCCCGAAAGTCGTATATAGACTCCTGGGTAAAATCCAGGGTAGCTACAGAGCAACTGGCAGTATTGTTGAACGTTCTTAGCTCAGATGTTAGTGAGGCTGGGGATAACACGGATGCAAGTGGTAGTAACTTGGGTAGGTCAGTACAGATTTGTTGTGGAAGTATTGGAGACTTGCCCAGGTACAGGCTGCCATGAGCGTAGCAAGCTTGCCATTTCTGATCATCTCCCAGTTGAGGAAAAATTGCGTCGGATCTTCCGTTGCAGAGAACAGGCCATCAATACCATTGATCGTCATCGCCTTTCGTCGGAAGGTATACCATATGCGCTGATGGTTACACATGATGACAGTTCCAACCAGTGTACTTTTCACGAAGAAGGCCAAGGCTGTACCATATCGCACCATCTTCAGTTGCTCGGTCGCAGGCTTCCCATTGAGATGCATGTAAAACAAGTGATGACCCACTGCTGCCGCAAACCCTGCCATGAACAATGCCACTATGAGAGCCGGTGTTGTCCAGTATATGTGCCATTGGACCAATTCGCCAGATCTCCTGTCGACGAGAGCTTGGGTATCCGCATCCATGGTCTTCTTATGATAAAGCGAGTTTAGAGTATACGTAGAATCTCTCGCTGAGCGTATGGAGTGGCCCGAGGTGCCGTGTTCTCCACGCACCGGCTCATACCGGCTGTCACCGTGTGGCAGGCCCAAGTAGGCTCCCGCCCGCAACCCACTCTTTGTACCCTCATCGTGAGACTGACCCAAGGATCGTGCGGGAGTAATGTGCGGCTCTAAACCATCCGATGATAGCCGTGAAAGATATGAGAGCTCGATAGGATCGGATTCTGTGCGGAAGGGATCGTAGGATTCAGGACGTGATTCCGGTGAAACATCCCGTGAGGAATAAGCCGACTGGATCCCTCGAGAAGCCATCGTTATCGCAATGTTGTGAGTCTAGGAGGGTAGGATTTTGAGAGCATAGGATGATTGCGACGCCGGCCCAAAGTCATCAGGAAAACACCATGGTGCTAGCGTTCAGCGGGGTGTTGCACATGTAATACTGTGGGCGTATGCAGCACGACAACAAGAGGAGGGCGTCCGGAAGGCTCAATGAATGCCGATGCTGTCGCATGCAACTATCTCAAGGACGATCGGGATGAAGAAAGCATCGTGCCCGGGACTGAGCCCCCACTTCTCCATCATCGCTCCCTCAGGTGTGGTCTATTCTGGGGAACCGAGATGAGGCGTAGGCGGCGCGCAACACAGGAAAGACTGCCTATTGGTAAACCATCGTCGCACTAAGCGCGACTGCAGGTGGCTGGCTGGAAACTCGAGACACTTGGTAGCTGGCGATGTAGACCTACCTCATACATAAAAAACCTGAACAGGCCTGCGGGCTACATCAAGACAAAAGCTTGCAACGTAGGTGACCTAACGATAACCTAGGCTCCAGGATGTTCTTTTTTATTAGGTTGACGTGGACCAACGATCAGATCGCGCGTGCGGAGGTGCTCGCTCTTACAAACTGTAAGTATGACAAAAGGAAGCTACGCAAGAGACATCTTCCACATTCGATGTCACAGCCTATACCGCCCATCACCCTTCCGAGTGTAGTATAGTGGGGTGCCTCAGAAAGACGGATCCCTTGGTAGAAGGCAGTAGAAGACGGTGCGGGGCATGAGTAGGCGCGAAGCCACGCGACATCCTCGCGTTTCTCCATCGGACCCACTCCGCCTACCTGGAGCTTACAAATGCGGTTCCAGCGACCTTTGCCGACATCTGCCATGTTGCGCGCAGCCCCAGGCTCTAGAATGCACGTTTTCCGAAGATCCGAGCAATTCCCGGCAAGGCAAGCAGAGCATCGGTCAGCCATCCTGACAAACTCGTCTTTCAGACCGGCAGTTCGCCTTAGAGATTATGGCGATAAACCCGCCATTGGGTCTTCTCCGTACGGCCAGACTGATCGCCAACAGTCCAGGAAGCTAATGATCCATGATAGCCGCAGTTTACAGGGGAGCTACAAGCTGTGACGTGAACGCGGACTAGCTCTTGTTATTCTTGCGTCACTATTCGGACCTTCGACGACCCCACATGCACATGGCAGTACATAAGGAGCAGGCACCGTCATGGCAGAGACGTCATAAAGGTTCAAAGGTCTTTTGTAGCTCCTTCGAATTCCCCATAGCAAACACTCCCACATATAATCAACTACAACATGGCACCATCAACGACAAAGGCATGGACCGTTCAAGGCCAGGATGGCTTTAACTCTCTCAAATTCAATGAGCAGGCCAAGGTACCTGAGATAGGCGACAAGGACGTTTTAGTCAAGGGTGCGTAGAGCTCATTCAATAGCCTCAGCAATAGTACTGACCAATTGACAGTCCACGCCGCATCATTGAACTACCGCGACCTTATCATTCCCATGGGCAAATACCCCTTCCCAATGAAGGACAACACTGTGCCTGGCTCGGATGGCGCCGGCACTGTAGAATCGGTCGGCAAGCGCGTCACACGCTTCAAGCCTGGAGGTTCGTATCCCCATACAGACCAATGCATACAGCCTTCTAACATCACCCAGACAAGGTAGTCACCCTCTTCAACCAAGGTCACATCGCCGGCTCCCTAGACGCACAATCTCTCGGCACCGGTCTCGGAGGCGCCATTGACGGTACCCTGCGAGAGTACGGCGTTTTCGACGAAGCTGGTCTCGTTGCGGCCCCCTCCAACCTGAACATGCTCGAGGCCTCTACCCTCTCATGCGCCGCCCTCACAGCTTGGAACGCCCTATACGGTCTGGAGTCACGCGCTCTCAAGCCTGGTGACACAGTCCTCACACAAGGTACCGGTGGTGTATCCATCTTCGCTCTGCAATTCGCAAAGGCAGCTGGCGCCCGCGTCATTGCGACAACTAGCTCCGCACAGAAGGCCGACCTCTTGAAGAAGTATGGTGCCGACCACGTCATCAACTACAAGGAGACGACCAACTGGGGGGAGGAAGCCGCGAAGCTCACTCCCAACGGCGCTGGTGTTCAGCACGTTGTCGAGGTTGGCGGCCCGACCACGATGGCACAGTCTCTCAAGGCCATCGCCATCGACGGCGTTATCTCCATTATCGGTTTCATTGGCGGCGGCGGAAAGGACCAGCCTACGTTCCTCGACTGCCTTAACAACATCTGCACTGTGCGTGGTGTATTGGTCGGTTCAAGACTGCAGATGGAGGATATGTGCAAGGCAATTGAGGCGAATGATCTGCACCCTATTGTTGACGAGAAGGTGTTTGAGCTCAAGGATCTCAAGGACGCCTACCAATACATGTGGGACCAGAAGCACTTTGGTAAGCTCACTGTCAAGGTTGCATCATAGAGCATGCGACATGGAGTATATAGTACAGTCTAATTTACTGTAAACACTACGCTATGCTATAACACAATTGTGCCTCTCGCTGGCTAACCAGAACCTGCCCGTCCCCCCGGCGAGACCAACTCGAACCCCCGAAGGGGTGAGTCAAGGTCTCAAACCAGGAGGACTAAGGCAAGAGTAAAGAACTAGCTACAAGAAAGAAAACAAATACAAGAGCCTCTCGCTGGACGACCAGACGAGCGTACCACGTGCCCTACTAAGAAAAGAAACTGAGCCTCTCGCTGTATGAACAGACGAGCGTACCACGTGCTCCGCAAAAAAAGAAACTGAGCCTCTCGCTGTATAAACAGACGAGCGTACCACGTGCTCTGCAAAAAAAAAAAGACCCCGGGGCGACTACCAAGGTACAAAAAAGAACAAACCGCTCGCCAAACAGACCTCTGGCAACTACCAGGGTACCAAAAAACAAAACTCCAACTATGCAAAAACTCAAGCCTCTATGGGCGGTGGGGGGTATCATGGGGTATCAGGGTCGTAATGTAACCGTCGTGAAAAACCTCGTAAACGACTGAACTCCATGCTGTGCGCCAAAAACAATGCGAAAAGAGAATCCGTGTGTTCGAATGAAGAATGGAAGAGTTGTACTCAGTCCAGCTCGGTGGTAGGATGGCCGGCCAGCAGAGTGGTTGCGATACGCTTGCGTGCATCGTCCATGCCGTCGGTAGAAAGGACTCGAGTGGGAGCGTCGCCGCGGATGAGGGTCAGAGCGTTCAGGAGAGTGAAGACACCGCAATCGCTTCCGTTCTTCTGTTGCTCACTCCTCTGGCCAGTTTCTTTGTTCCACTCCGAAGGAACCCAGTATTCACCGAGCTCCTGCTCGAGGTATTTGACGAGCTTGTCGATGTATGTTTGTCCGTCAAGACCCATAGAGTCAAAGTACTCAATAGTGCGTTCCCGGGGATAAACCGCGAGCAGACGCCAGTGACCTCTGTCGCAGATGGGATAGAGGAGAAGGTCGGCGTCGAGGTACTGCTTGCCTTTCAGCTGGAACCTGTTGGTCCAGCGAGAAGTATCGGCAGTCTGGTACCAGAATGACGAAAAGGCGTGAAGGGGCGGTGCAGGACCGTTGCGCTGGTGAGCGAAGCCCATTTCCTTCTTCTTTGCAGCGATGAGAATAGAAAGATACTCGTTGACGATGCTGTCGTTCAACCATGCCCTGGGATCACCGTTGAAGACGCGAGGCAACAGAGTCGCAAAGTCTCGAGCGTATAGCTTGTCCTCAATGACGAACGAATCTGGCTTGCGGCCGTATTTGGTCTTGGCTGCGGCGTCTTGCAGTGCAGCTTCTTCCTCGGGAGTGAGCGGCGCAATAAGTGGCTTCTGAGGCGGTGGGGGAGGCGGTGCCAAGGCAAGCTTCCTCTGCATTTCCCGTTGAAGGTCTTCGAGGAGTTCCAGCGAGAACTCGCACTCCAGGAGCGATTCATCGGGTGCGTCGAAAGCGTCAACGGAGACACCGCGCCAGCCACCATTTTGCGCAGGAGAATCAAGAAGGGTTATCTGCGGGCTGCTGTCTGCCGACGAGCGAGAAGATGATGACGCCTGGCTGGCATTTGATGCGCCGCCATCGTTGTTCTGGAACACATTGTGGTATTCCCTGATCGGACTTGAAGTAATCGTCTCTAGCGTGGAGTCGAGCATCTCGCTGACTTTGGTGTCGACGTAGAAGGGCTTGCATTTAGCATCCTTTTCCCATCGCACTCCCTTCGCTCGCGGCGGAGACGGCGCATCAACGAGGAATGACAAGTCGTTGGCGTATTCGACTTCAGAGGTTTCAGTGACCTCAGGGAGAAAGGACAAGTCGTTGGCGTACTCGAAGTCGGGGACGGCAGCTTCGGTTTCAGTCTTTGGTTGTGATGGAGATGCTGATGACCAAGCATTCGTGGAGTGGAAGGGGTTCTGGTTGAATGACTCGGCGAAACTGTTCTTAGCTTGCTCGGTATCGGCGAAACCTTCCTCCGTAGACTCGAGCGCGGCATTGAGGCTTGCGATGCGCTTGCGTTCCCTGTACATCTGTGCCTTGACCAGTTGGCGTCGCAGAGGTGTGACCGTAGGCGGGTTGGAAGTGCGCTTGCCATTGGGGGCTGGGCTTGCGGATGCTTGCGATGAGGAGAGTGCTTGCGCCGACGGTGACGTAAGACCTGAAGAGGCATGGGCAGTTGAAG